TTATGCGGTACTGTGTCAAAGGCTTTCCGACAATCCAAGAAAATGCAGTCCGCCCAGCCCTCTCTTTCTTGCTTAATCCGTGTCACCTGATCGTAGAATTCTATCAAGCCTGTAAGGCAAGATTTACCCTCCCTGAATCCATGTTGGCGATTTGTCACGAAGTCCCTTCTCTCCAGATGTGTTACCAGGTTTTTTCTCACGATCTTCTCCATCACCTTGCATGGTATACAAGTCAAGGACACTGGCCTGTAGTTCAGTGCCTCTTGTCTGTCGCCCTTTTTGTATATTGGGACCACATTCGCCGTCTTCCATATTTCTGGTAGGTCTCCCGTCTCTAGTGACTTACTATACACTATGGAGAGTGGCAAGCAAAGTGCCTCTGCACACTCTTTCAGTACCCATGGTGAGATCCCATCTGGACCAACAGCCTTTCTAACATCCAGATCCAGCAGGTGTCTCTTGACCTCCTCGTAATTTCGAACTCCTCCAAGGCCGCCTGGTTTACCTCCCTTTCTCCTAGCACAGTGACCTCACCCTGTTCTATTGTGAAGACCTCCTGGAACCTCTTGTTGAGTTCCTCACACACCTCTCTGTCATTCTCTGTATACCTGTCCTCGCCTGTTCTAAGTTTCAATACCTGTTCTTTCACTGTTGTTTTCCTTCTGATGTGACTGTGGAGTAGCTTTGGTTCAGTCTTGGCTTTGTTTGCTATATCATTTTCAAAATTTTTCTCTGCTTCTCTTCTCACCCTGACGTACTCATTCCTGGTATTCCACACACACACACACACACATGTGTGTGTGTGTGTGTGTGTGTGTGTGTGTGTGTGTGTGTGTGTGTGTGACCAGACCTAGTGACCAGCCATGGTGATTAGACCAAGAGACCAGACCCACTATACCGTTACCCCATGGTGTCCAGCACTACCACCCCTACCTGCGGCCTCCACCCCTACCTGCGGCCTCCACCCCTACCTGCGGCCTCCACCCCTACCTGCGGCCTCCACCCCTACCTGCTGTCTCCACCCCTACCTGCGGCCTCCACCCCTACCTGCGGCCTCCACCCCTACCTGCGGCCTCCACCCCTACCTGCGGCCTCCACCCCTACCTGCGGCCTCCACCCCTACCCGCGGCCTCCACCCCTACCTGCGGCTTCTACCCCTACCTCGGCCTCCACCCCTACCTGCGGCCTCCACCCCTACCTGCGGCCTCCACCCCTGCCTGCGGCAGCCACCCCTACCTGCGGCCTCCACCCCCACCCGCAGCCTCCACCCCCACCCGCAGCCTCCACCCCTACCTGCGTCCTCCACCCTTACCTGCGGCCTTCACACCCACAAAAGGCCTCCAACCACCACCCCAACTCTCTGCCTCCATCCCCCACCCACGGCCTACACCCCCGCCCGCAACTTCCCCCCCACCCGCAGCTTCCCCCCCCCCCACCACCACCACCACCTACGGCCTCCACCACCACCACCTGCGGCCCTCACCACCACCACCGCCCACACCGCCGGCCAGTCTAGCCTACCGACCAGATACCAAACAGCCACTTGCCTCGCCCCTCTTCTTCCCCCACCCGCTCCCCCGCCCTCAATTGCTCGCCTGATCAGGAACCTGCGCGGGAGAACGCAGACCAGCCCCCTCCCTCTCGCCTGCTGGGGGAGGGAGGAGGGGGTGGGGGAGAAGGGAGAGGGGGAAGGAAAGGTGTTCGAATATGTTTTGCCTGTGTTTACTTCGTGGTGAGCGGCGGAGGTGTCGTGTGGACGACTATAGGCCTGGGGAGGGAGCCAGGCAGGAGGGCACAACCTGGTGCTCTCGGTGAGGGTCAGGATCTGTGGAGAGGGGGGAGGAGGAAGAGAGGCAGGTGGAAGAGGAGGAGGAGGAGGAAGAGAGGCAGGTGGAAGAGGAGGAGGAGGAAGAGAGGCAGGTGGAGGAGGAGGAGGAGGAAGAGGGGCAGGTGGAGGAGGAGGAGGAGGAGGAAGAGAGGCAGGTGGAGGAGGAGGAGGAGGAAGAGAGGCAGGTGGAAGAGGAGGAGGAGGAGGAAGAGAGGTAGGTGGAGGAGGAGGAGGAGGAAGAGGGGCAGGTGGAGGAGGAGGAGGAGGAGGAAGAGAGGCAGGTGGAGGAGGAGGAGGAGGAAGAGAGGCAGGTGGAGGAGGAGGAGGAGGAAGAGAGGCAGGTGGAGGAGGAGGAGGAGGAAGAGAGGCAGGTGGAGGAGGAGGAGGAGGAGGAAGAGAGGCAGGTGGAGGAGGAGGAGGAGGAGGAGAGAGGCAGGTGGAGGAGGAGGAGGAGGAGGAAGAGAGGCAGGTGGAGGAGGAGGAGGAGGAAGAGAGGCAGGTGGAGGAGGAGGAAGAGAGGCAGGTGGAGGAGGACGAGAGAGGCAGGTGGAGGAGGAGGAAGAGAGGCAGGTGGAGGAGGAGGAGGAGGAAGAGAGGCAGGTGGAGGAGGAGGAGGAGGAGGAGGAAGAGAGGCAGGTGAAGGAGGAGGAGGAGGAAGAGAGACAGGTGAAGGAGGAGGAGGAGGAAGAGAGACAGGTGAAGGAGGAGGAAGAGAGACAGGTGAAGGAGGAGGAGGAGGAGGAGGAAGAGAGACAGGTGAAGGAGGAGGAGGAGGAGGAGGAGGAGGAAGAGAGACAGGTGAAGGAGGAGGAGGAGGAAGAGAGACAGGTGAAGGAGGAGGAGGAGGAGGAGGAAGAGAGACAGGTGAAGGAGGAGGAGGAGGAGGAAGAGAGACAGGTGAAGGAGGAGGAGGAGGAAGAGAGACAGGTGAAGGAGGAGGAGGAGGAGGAAGAGAGACAGGTGAAGGAGAAGGAGGAGGAAGAGAGGCACGTGGAGGAGGAGGAGGAGGAAGAGAGGCACGTGGAGGAGGAGGAGGAGGAAGAGAGAAAGGTGGAGGAGGAGGAGGAAGAGAGACAGGTGAAGGAGGAGGAGGAGGAAGAGAAACAGGTGAAGGAGGAGGAGGAGGAAGAGAAACAGGTGAAGGAGGAGGAAGAGAGACAGGTGGAGGAGGAGGAAGAGAGGCAGATGGAGGAGGAAGAGAGGCAGGTGGAGGAGGAGGAAGAGAGGCAGGTGAAGAAGGAGGAGGAGGAGGAAGAGAGCCAGGTAGAGGATCAGCAGCTGGAGAGGAGACGCGACTGCTGTAACATTGTTCCAAGAACTGATGTCTTCCAAACCCCGGTTAAAAAAATAAAATCTAAAAAATAAAAATCTAAAATTATCTCCTAAGGTTTTTTTCCATCTCCCCTCGTCTCTCCTCCACTTATTAATTAACGCTTTTCTCATTATTCTTCTTTATCTCCCTCATCTCTTCCCCCCTCCGTCCTTCCGTACCTGCCATCCATTTTCCTCCAAGGCCTCGGCACACCAGCCCTGTGGTACCTTCCACCCGTGTTTACGACCACGGGCATGATTCCCAGAATGACTACAACAGTACACAAATATTCGCTCGAGAGCGTCGCTGTGCGCTTTCTCCCGGGGCGGCCGCCTTGGTGATTTCAACGCCCTGTAAGTACTGATCCACCAGCCGGGCCTCCAGCCGCGGCCTTGTGTAAGGCTCCGCTCACACACTCGTTCCTCCCCTCCCGTGTGACCCCTAGTTTCCATCTTCTGGCAACGAAACGATATAAAACACCACGAATCAATTTGCATGGTCCAGTACAGCTTCAAGGTAAAACCCGCCATCGGGCAAACCGCGCGCGCCACTGTTGCCACGTCTCGCCCCAGGCGGTTGCCGGCGTTGCCAAGTTTCCCGCAGCCCTGCCTTCGCCTGGGGACATCTGATCGAAAAGTGGACACGTAGGAGCCGTGTTGCGGACTCTAACCGTCGGACACCAGCCCCGGGTGCCGGGTTGCAGGTAAACAAGCCCGTGGTGGGGGTATGGCGAGCGTAGGTGAGATATTAAGGCTGACAACGGCTGTTTACCTAGCATGCCCCACAGCGGTACACGGGGACCAGGACACGGTGGAGAGGGGGGGACACCTGACCGTAAGCCTCGCTCACCCCCTTTATCTGTGACGCCTGTCTACCCTCTAGCTCTTTCCCCCCCTTCTTCTCCCTCCCGCTCACTACACTACTCGTAGAGCTTGGAAAAGTGATGATGTAGCTGCGGGAAGAGAGAGAGAGGGAGAGGAGCCGAAAAGAGCGCAGACTAAAAAGCTTACCGCCCAGGTCAGTCTAGACGTTGGTCAGAATTACAATGAGATAGAATAGACGCGTCGGCTGGAGCTGAACCGGCCAGGTGGGGGGAGAGGTGCCACAGGCCGCCAGCCATGCCCTCCTCTCTCTCTCTCTCTCTCTCTTTACTCTCTACTCTCTTCTCTTCACACCTGGGCAAGGTCAGTGGCTCTTTACTACTGCAACTTTGGTGTTCAATGCACTCTTGGTTGTGTGTGTTTGTATGGGCGCTGTGGTTCGTCAATGAGACGACGTGATTTCGGGGTTGTTCGTCGTTAATCACCCGAGGAAATTGCTCATCACTCTACTAGATATAGTTTAAACCTGGACAATTGTTCGACTTGTAATATTGTAATGACTCTACTCGTTGCCCCTGAATTTGAGTTAGATTAAAGAGAGATGTTAGAGACGTGGAGAGAGTTAATAGAGAAGTGAGAGTGGTATCTGGTGAGGTGTGGCAGCTGCTCCTCGGCTACAGGTGGGCTTGGGGGGGGATGGGGGAGGGGGGAGGCGGGGGGGACGCTTAAGCACTCTCCACTCATTTCGCTTATTTTTAGAATTGTTCGCCCACTTGTACTTTCAAGCCGTTCCTTTTTCACAGAGTTACTAAGACTTAAAGCAGCGTGCGCTGTAAGCCAGGTGCCCGGGCTGAATATAGAGATGGGGTGGGCATGCGGGCATCTCGTCCCTTCAGGTAGATAATGGCAGGTGAGCAGTTCCCCCCTGCTTCCCTCCCCCCCTCCCCTCCCCCCACATGGTCTACCTGCTACCCTCCTCCTCCTCCTCCTCCTCCTCCTTCTCCTCCTACTCTCCTGGCGTCACTCAAGCATAAGACTCCCGAGTCTGGCAGTCGCATTCCCCCAGGCTAAGTAGACGCCACCCTCTCTGCCGCCTCCGCGTGTTCTCGAGTCCATTGTTTACGCCGAAGGGCGTGTTGCAGACCCCCGACGTGTGTGTGCTGGTGCCTAGGGTGTGACCCCGTGCCTCTACACCAGGCAGCCACAACCGTGAAACTCATCCTGAGAAATGCAACAGGACAACGTGTGAGATCTTCAAGGTTAAGGACACAGCGGAGATCAGGGAGTTGAGTGAGAAGAACACTTGTGTTATATCTATAGTGATCGATGGCTGGTGCATCTTGGGGGTTTTAAAAGGTGATTTTTTTGGGTGTGTGTGTAAAACTTGCGCGTCTTAAGAATCTCGCTCTGGAGCCGTTGTGGTGCTTTTACACCTGTTTGTGGAGTCGTCAATAGTGTGTGTGTGTGGTGTGTGTTAACTGGCAGGAAATCGTTGTGGGATCTGGTACTGTTGCATGATGGCCATGTCCCCGCTGAACGTCGGTAGCCCTTCAGAGGCCCTGAAGCGCAAGTCTCCAGACGACACACAAGGCGTGGTGCTCTCGCTGCGTAAACACCACGTTACGGGCCCTCTCTCCCTCACCACCTCCAACACCACCCAGGTCTTCTCCTTCATCGATGGCCAGATCATGCACGACGATGTTTGTGATGACGTCGTCGACGACGTCGTTGATGACGTCGTCGACGACGTTGAACGACGAGGTAAGTCATTTTTAGCAACATTAAATATACATATGTGTATAGTATCTATACTCACACACACACACACACACACACACACACACACACACACACACACACACACACACACACACACACACACACACACACACACACACACACACACACACTTCCAAAATATTAACCTAAACATGTGTTCAATATTATTTTTGTGATCATATTTTGTTGCTTTTAGCAGGAAACACAACGATAATCAACATAAACTATTTTCTCATTCAAAGCTAAGACTGAGATAAAGATTCTCACATATAGATTCTTTTATATCAATTCATCTCAATATGAAAAGAATTGAGAAGATTTATCAGGTATTGAAGCGTTCGAATTGGCCAGTAAGTGCTTGGCATATCCTGCCCTATGGAAGCTTAGCCAAGCTTGGAACTTGCCAGTGTTCAGCATCGTACTTTATTGAAGCTTAGCTAAGCTTGAGACTTGGAAGTGTTCAGCATCGTACTTTATTGAAGCTTAGCCAAGCTTGAGACTTGGAAGTGTTCAGCATCGTACTTTATTGAAGCTTAGCCAAGCTTGAGACTTGGAAGTGTTCAGCATCTACTTATTGAAGCTTAGCCAGCTTGAGAGCTTGGAAGTGTTCAAACATCGTACTTCTTATCTGAAGCTTGCCAGCTTGAGACTTGGAAGTGTTCAGCATCGTACTTTATTGAAGCTTAGCCAAGCTTGAGACTTGGAAGTGTTCAGCATTACGTCATGTGGAAACACTACAAAGCACGTGCTCTCTCTCACCTCCCGCTAGTCGTGTTCTCAAACACCACTCTTATCTTATTCTTGCTAGGAGGCGTCAGTGTTGGGGTGAGGGAGGTGTGTAGGGGGGTGAGGGAGGTGTGTAGGGGGGTGAGGGAGGTGTGTAGGCCAGTGTGGAAGATGTGTAAGTCAGCGTGGGAGGTGTGTAGGTCAGTGGGGAGATGTGTAGGTCAGTGTGGGAGATGTGTAAGTCGGTGTGGGATGTGGGAGGTGTGTAGGCCAGTGTTGTAGGTGTGTAAGTCAGTGTTGGGGTTGAGGGAAGTGTCCAGCTGGAGGCCCGGGGGTGGAGGGGTGGAGGGTTGGCCGCGTGGCGTGCAGCTTCCAAGACATAACCTTTGTGTGTTGGTCCGCCTTAAGTCCTCTCAAGGAGATCAATTTGCTTAACTCGACGCAAATTATGTAAACAACGTAGACTGCTACACGATCAACAATGCAATTATTGATGGAGAGTTTTCATTTTATTTTTGTAAATAAAATGATTAGAGTAAAAGAATGACGATCGTATTCCTGCAGTAGTATTTGAAGATTTAATTGTATCAACAATATTTCCAAACTGATCACTAGGAGGGAAGGGGAAGTGTGTGAGACCGCCGCTAGAGAGCACTGGAACAAGTAACCATCCAAACGGAGCTCAGATGAGATCAGCTGAGCGCCTGGAGGAGTTACGGCCACTGCCTCCACGACGCCTCCAGCCACACACACACACACACACACACACACACACACACACACACACACACACACACACACACACACACACACACAGTAAACACTGCCATTCACGATTTAATGTACACCGTTTTTTGCTTCGATTTGTCTACATTCTCGGGGTATTTTAGCAACTATGACACGAGTACTTTAGAGTCAGTTTTGCTTCTTTTTTGTTTTTGCATTCTTCGTTGTATTGTTCTAAATGAAGGTGTCAGCTGACTGTCAAGCTTTGACGGGGACTGTCAAGCTTGAGATGACGACGAGCAGGAGAAGTGTGCCAGTACTTCCCTACTCACAAGCACGAAGTCAAGCTTAAATGGAAGTTTGTTTGCTTCCGGGGGGGTCTGGGGGTCCTTTGACAGGTCCCCCGGAGACGGACCCCAGTGCACGGACACGGACGGACCTCAGTGCACGGACGGACCCCAGTGCACGGACACGGACGGACCTCAGTGGACGGACGGACCCCAGTGCACGGACACGGACTGACCTCATTGCACGGACGGACCCCAGTGCACGGACACGGACGGACCTCAGTGCACGGACGGACCCCAGTGCACGGACACGGCACGGACCTCAGTGCACGGACGGACCCAGTGCACGGACACGGACGGACCTCAGTGGACGGACGGTAGTGACGGGGCGTCCGGCCTGTCAGGTCGCCCACAGGTGGAATGAATGATACGGGAGACGCCGCCCGTCTCTCCCGCCCAGTACACTCCACGAGACGGGCGGCGTTAGGTTATTATGGCGACCGTACACCCGTCTGTTGGGGAGGACGGTTGTGATCTTGGCGTGATGCTCCATGCTCCTGGTGACGTGTGAGAGATGCCCCACGCTCCTGGTGACGTGTGAGAGATGCTCCACGCTCCTGGTGACGTGTGAGTGATGCTCCACGCTCCTGGTGACGTGTGAGAGATGCCCCACGCTCCTGGTGACGTGTGAGTGATGCTCCACGCTCCTGGTGACGTGTGAGTGATGCTCCATGCTCCTGGTGACGTGTGAGAGATGCTCCATGCTCCTGGTGACGTGTGAGAGATGCTCCATGCTCCTGGTGACGTGTGAGAGATGCTCCATGCTCCTGGTGACGTGTGAGTGATGCTCCACGCTCCTGGTGACGTGTGAGTGATGCTCCACGCTCCTGGTGACGTGTGAGAGATGCTCCACGCTCCTGGTGACGTGTGAGAGATGCTCCACGCTCCTGGTGACGTGTGAGTGATGCCCCACGCTCCTGGTGACGTGTGAGTGATGCTCCATGCTCCTGGTGACGTGTGAGTGATGCTCCATGCTCCTGGTGACGTGTGAGAGATGCTCCATGCTCCTGGTGACGTGTGAGAGATGCTCCATGCTCCTGGTGACGTCCATCTCCTGTCCCCCCCCCACCCTCCCATCTTCTAAAGACCCCCTCCCACCCTCCCCAATTTCTGCTTTCTTGGCGCCTTTGACACCCAGCTGTTACGGGTCAAGATTCCTGAGGTCACAGTGGGGGTTGGCTTAGTGTTGCCAGGGGGGTGGTGAAGGGTGACCGAGTGGACAGCATGCCGGGCACGTAATCCTGTGGACCGGGGTTCGATTCCCGGCGCCGGTGAGAAACAACATGGGTAGAGTTTCTTTCACCCTGATGTTCCTGTTATCTAAAGGTAAATAGGTACCTGGGAGTTAGATAGCTACTACGGGCTGCTTCCTGAGGGGTGGGGGGGGGGGGGGGTTTGAAGAAAAATAGTTAGTAGTTAGTATCAGTTGATTGATTGACAGTTCAGAGGCGGGCCGAAAGAGCAGCGCTCCACCCCCGCAAGCACAGCTAGGTGAATACACACACACACACACATACACAGATACAAGGTATCATCTGGGAGAGGAAATTCTTCAGGAATCAGAGAAAGAAAAAGACTTAGGGGTTGATATCACGCCAGACCTGTCTCCTGCAGCACATATCAAGCGGATAACATCAGCGGCATATGCTAGGCTGGCCAACATACGAACGGCATTCAGAAACTTGTGTAAAGAATCATTCAGAACTTTGTATACCACATATGTCAGGCCAATCCTGGAGTATGCAGCCCCAGCATGGTGTCCATATCTAGTCAAGGATAAGACTAAACTGGAAAAGGTTCAAAGGTTTGCCACCAGACTAGAACCCGAGCTGAGAGGTATGAGCTACGAGGTGAGACTACGGGAATTAAACCTCACTTCGCTGAAAGACAGAAGAGTTAGGGGGACATGATCACCACATTCAAGATTCTGAAGGGAATTGATAGGGTAGATAAAGACAGGCTATTCAACACAAGGGGCACACACACAAGGGGACACAGGTGGAAACTAAGTGCCCAAATGAGCCACAGAGATATTAGAAAGACCTTTTTTAGTGTCAGAGTGGTTGACAAATGGAATGCATTAGGCAGTGATGTGGTGGAGGCTGACTCCATACACAGTTTCAAGTGTAGATATGATAGAGCCCAGTAGGCTCAGGAATCTGTACACCTGTTGATTGACAGTTGAGAGGCGGGACCAAAGAGCCAGAGCTCAACCCCCGCAAACACAACTAGGTGAGTACACACACACACACACACACACACACACACACATTTTGTACTCTGCAGATACAAATATTAAATAGTGAGCACAAGTAGTAAATACACAGCCGCGAGGCCCTCACGGCGCTGAGTGGACATCACTCTGGGGCCGTAGTCTTAAGGGCCCGGGTTCGATCCCCGGGAGAGGCAGAAACAATAGGGGGCAGAGTTTATTTCACCCTGATGTCCCTGTTCACCTAGCAGTAAATAGGTACCTGGGTGTTAGACAGCTGCTATGGGTTGCTTCCTGTGTGTGTGTTAGAGAGAAATATATGTAGTAGATATGGATGGAAAATAGATTGGTTAGAAAGGCGGGGTCCAAGAGCTAGCAGCTCGATCCTGCAGGCACACATTGTCAATATTGAAACACCACCACCACCACCCCCTACCACTACCACACGCACAACCGCCACCACCACCACTACCACCACCACTACCACAACCTCCACCACTACCACCACCACTTTTCAGAAATCGAGTCCGCCGACCACCACTACCACTACAGCCACCACCACCACCACAACCACCACCACTACAGCCACCACCACCACTACCACCACCACCACCACAGCCACCACCACCACCACCACCACACCACCACAGCCACCACCACCACCACCACACCCACCACCACCACCAGCCACCACCACCACCACCACCACATCCACCACCACCACTACAACCACCACCACCACTACCACCACCACCACCACAACCACCACCACCACCACCACCACTACCACCACAGCCACCACCACCACCACCACCACTACCACCACAGCCACCACCACCACCACCACACCCACCACCACCACCACAGCCACCACCACCACTACCACCACCACCACCACATACCACTACCACCACAGCCACCACCACCACCACCACACACCACCACCACCACCACCACAGCCACCACCACCA